GATATTTCTAATAGTTAAATTCGATCCCGTGATTCTATGAGCTTCGTCACGTACAGTAGATAGTGTAAAAATTTCTACCTCGTGAACTTTCGCTATAATATTGTTAATGACGCGTGCGATTACATCTATTTTACTCGTTGGCTTATCGATACAGTTATTTGTTTATTCATTACCTGATGCATTATAATTATTTTTTATATTCTCATCACTCGCCAATTTTTCCTGACTAAAAACTGTTATTCTTTCACCATTATATCATATTTTTTCAAATATAATTTACTGCAGTTACCGTGACAATAAATGTCTGCTTTGAATAAATCTTGAGCTTTTTGTAAGTATGAGTAACGAGTATAAAGATCTTTAAAATGCATCATAATTTTCAAAAACTTTTTCGCTCGTTCTATTCCACATATTCTAAATGTTCTTGTTTGTCCGTTATGTTTAACGATTACACAAATAGCACATTTTTGTATATTACTTACCCGCGATATTCGGATTCAGCAACCCCAAAAACATAAAGAACGACTATAAAACAGTGTTCACCTCTCAAAATATACTCAAGTATCACTGGCGGCCGGACTAAATGGATGGCGTGTCGCAAATTAATAATTGCAATATGCAACATATTCGTCTTTATTCCGGTTTCTGAAGTTGAAGCTTTGTTAAATTTCAGTTTGGGATTTCTGGCTTTGAGATTTGTGGGTTGGGTTTGATATTTGTGAGTATGGAGGATTTCAGGTTTGTATATTATAATTTTTATTACTTTTACTAAGATTGAGATAAATGCTTCATAGGATATTAAACACTTCTATCCTGACATCACTCTCTTGATACACCTGTTTTCCGAAATTTCAAAATGCGATATTTCAGCAAAAAAAAGATATTTGAGCAAACTTAACAGTATTTGAAAGAGCAAGACTTCTACTTTAAAGTAACATTCATAGCTTTTTAAGCAAAAAATTAAATTCGGTGCTACATAGCCTCAAAAATAGGAAAAATCGCTTTTTTACTCATTTATAGGTTAGGATCTCTCCGAAACCAGAGCCAGTCCGATATTTAAACCTCAAATTGGGATTAAGCGCAACAAAAACCTTTTGAAAAATATACTTTGATTTTTTGGTTATAAGGTCGACCTAATTTTATCGGCCTGTGTTATCATGGTCTCATTAAAATTCAAAATAAAACTAAGATAACTATTAAACCATTTTTTTACAAAATACTATCAAAAGCAGATTATCTGAAAGTACCATTACTTAATAAGAAGGAGGGGGCAAACAACAAAGAGAAAACTAAAGTGCTAGGTAAAATTCAATATATTACGAATTCTTGTTCAATGAAAATTATAAATTAATTAATATTTAAAATGCTGTTTTAGAACAGTAATGTCATTACGTATTTTATTTTGCTTTTATAATTCTATTAAAGGATTTATAGAGTTATATAAGTTGCATAACAAGATTTACACATTATACTCGTATATTATTAAATTATTCAATCTCCTAATTTTTTTTGTACTTAGAAAAAACTAGCAATATTAGTTATAATTTATAAGACCTGTGTATTGCAACGGGGTAGCTATCCGTTTATTTAATTTATGAGCGCGATCGTATCGAAGAGCGCGCGGAATTATCTACACGTTTAAATTCGAAAACCGGAGAGCAGGAGGGAACGGGTGTCAGTCAACCAACTACCTACTAACGTGAAATAAATACGTCGAAAATACTGTCAATATCACATACGGGATCGTTTATTTCCTCTAAACTATACAATGTATTAGGCCCGCGTGTTTATGTTTATAAGACGCGCGCACGACAATAACATGTGGAGTCGGATCGCTCGCCGCTCTTTGTTCGCCGAGATAATGCATGCACGTTTTCTAGCGAGTACAAGAGATTAGTTATTCGGGAATTCTGTCACGATCGCGAAATTAAGCTGGCCAGCTTACCTTATTAATTCTCGCACGGGAAACAAGTGATACGGAGAAGGAGGCTCTTGCGGCACACACTAGTCTTTCGGCGAACGTTTATATGCGTTTTCAGTTTCGCCCTCGATGGCGAAACTGCTCACTCACGCATGCTAATACGCACTCAGCTCCGTCAGGCTATGGCACAGCTCGTCTCTCGTTATCTCTGCGCTCCGGAAAACTCGGGAAAAATCTGCAAGGTACTCGCTGCACTGCTCGGCGATCGAATTCTAATCCTCGACTGGTTTAGATACGTACGCGCGCGTTCCGTTACGTCTCGTGCCGAATTCCCTCAATGCATTTTGCCCCAACCGGCAGGTGCTGCCCTCGCCGGCAACCTCATAGTTGGGCTGATAGCGCTAATATGACGTTTACCGTCACAGCCCCCTTCTAGTCTGGACCTGTGGGGTCCTCGACGATAATATTATTAGCGCTGTTTCTTTTAAGGTGAGGAGAGGAAGGGATAATAAAAGGTCGTATTCTCTGCGATATTCTGAGCCATTTTATTGCGGGTGTGTGTGTGTGGCCCTGTCCACGGGGGCAGGGATCGTTCACCTGGCTGGTCTCGTCGGTTCCTCCCGGCCTTCTTCGTCCAACGGGGGGCGCCCGCATGCCTCCCATCCCAGCCTCTCCTAGACCAGGTCGACGTGCTGTCTGACACGGGGACACCGATCCGTGCGCTCTTTGTTCGCCGAGATAATGCATGCGCATTTCTTGTCGAATACGAGAGATTAGTTATTAGCAATTCTATCGCGATGGCGAAATTAATCCAGCCATAATAAATCGCCAGCTTACCTTATTAACGGTTGTACGGCAGCAAGACAGAATGCAACCCACTATCGGGTTCTGGCAAAGTCTATAGTTTTTTTGTTTGCGGTTCGAAAACTCGCGTGCATGGTTTCGCCCTCGATGGCGAAACCCTTCACTCAAGTACACCTGCACACACTTATACCCAACGAGAGATAGCTCAGCTCCCGCGGGCTCAGGTCAGCTCATCTCGACACTCATGACAGCTCGGGAACAACAACAACCTCTTGCACTCCCCTGCGATCGGATACCAATCCTCGAAATTACGGTTAGACGTATCGGTAGTTAATCCTCCACTCTCTCAGGCGATATCGATAGCTAATCCTCGACTCGTTCGTTTTTATTCGTGCGCGTTCTGTCGCGTCTCGTACCGAATTCCCTTGTCACATTTTCCCCAACCGGTAGGTGCTAAATTTAAATTTTAATAAATTTTAATTTTAATTAAATCAGTAATTAAAATTTAAATAAAAAAAATATATTTTAATGCGAATTTTTTACTTAAACTATGTAAATAAATTAAAAATAAGTATTAATAACTTTTTATACAGTATTAATATCTTTTTATATATAACTAAATTAGTTATATAAAATATTAAAATAAAAAATACTTCAATAGAGCCCTCAAATACAACGATTGATAGCGGGCGTTAGTTACATATCTACCGCGGCTACTAATCATATATGCATATTTCAATCTCATTTTGATTTATATTTACAAAATGTTTTCATTTTCAAGATTAAATAAATTTTTCTTTGTTACAAATATATATTTCTAACAAATATTTAATTTGTAACTTTACTAAGAGAGATATCAAAGAAGATATAAGAGGTCTGTTCAAAAAGTATCGCGAATTTTGAATTTCCGCGAGCTACGTAAATATGATTTTTGATTTTTTTTGTATCGTTTTGTTGGTACTCATGTCCCTTACTTACGCTGATAAGGTCGGCCATTTTAATTGTTTAGTTAATTTTTGAAAGCTCTTTTGCTTGGATGTGTTTTGATTTGTCTTCGATTTTTGTCTATTCTAAAAAATGGATCAAAGAATCTGTGTCAAATTTTGTGTGAAAAAGAAAATAAAATGCGCGGACGCATTCCGAATGTTAACTGTGGTATATGGTTAAGCTACCGTGCATTAAAGCAACGTTTATCGGCGGTACAAAATGTTCTTAGAAGGCCAAGAAGATGTGAACGACGAACAACGTGCCGGAAGCCCGAGCACGTCAACAACAGACGAAAATATTGATAAAGTGAAGAAAATAGTATTGGCCAATCGTCGAATCACTGTTAAAGAAGTTCCTGTGGATCTAAACATATCGATTGGCTCATGCAATCCGATTTTAACCAATGATTTGGGCATAAGTCGGATCGTCGCGAAATTCGTGCCAAAACTGCTCAATTTCGACCAAAAACAACATCGCGTTAACATTGCTCAGAAAATGTTTGACTCGGTCCGTGATAACCCAACTGTGCTCCAGAGGATCATAACTGGTCATGAATCATGGGTTTATGGTTATGATGTACAAACCAATGCTCAATCATCCTAATGGAAGCTGCCGTATGAGCCAAGACCGAAAAAAGCGCGTCAAGTTCGGTCGAACGTGAAGGTTTTGCTCGCTGTTTTCTTCGATTACAGGGGCGTAGTGTATAATGAGTTCTTGCGACAGGATATTACGGTCAATAAGAAATATTACCTGCAAGTTATGCGCAATTTGCGCGAAGCAATTCTCCAGAAACGTCCGGATTTGTGGAAGAACAAAACCTGACTTTTGTACCATGAAAACGCCTCTGCCCACACATCGTTACTTGTGCTCGAATATTAGACCAAAAACAACACAGTAATGGTGCCGCAGCCACCGTATTCCCCAGACCTGGCCCACTGTAACTTTTCTTGTTCCCAAAACTGAAGAGATCCATGAAAGGACGATGCTACGCCACAATTGAGGAGATAAAAATGGCATCGAAGGAGGAACTGAACATGATCACAAAAAATGATTTTTTTAAGTACTTCGAGGATTGGGAAAAACGTTGGTACAAGTGCATTATATTCGAGGGAAATTATTTTGAAAGAGATAAAATAGATATCCATGAATAAATAAATAATTTTTGAAAACAAACAAAATTCACGATACATTTTGAACAGACCTCGTATCATAAAAAAATAAAATAATCTTACTTCATAATGAGTTTACTTCACAACTGTCGAATTATGATGTTTATTTATATACTTACCTCCAATAAAAATACTACTTTGTTTGTATGTAATATTTGCAATATTTATAAATTTGACTGGTTTTTCTGGTGGAATGGAATAGATTCGCTTGAATATGTCATCTTCAATTGTATTTAATAATGAATCCAGTACTTTTTTAGAAACAGAGCTTGTTTTGGATTTGAGATTAATATCTCTAACAATTCGTGTGTAATCGTCAAATCTGAAATATCAATCAAAATACTGATCACATTCATTGGCAAAAAGGATCTGAACAAAGTATTATATATAAATTAAAGTGTATAGATAAAATAATACAATGGAATATTACATTTATCTAGGTTAAAGTAATGAATATCTTACTTTTTAAAACTTTGAATTTACTATCTATTGATAGTACGATGTTTCGATTCTATTAATAAACCGTCCTCGTGAAATAAGTATACAATGGGCAGTCACAAACAAATATAAAAACATATATTAAGGCTAAAAAATTGAATAGTTTTTTAGTAACGCAAATAAAACCAATCGTATTTTACTACCTAGCATTTGTGATCAGAAGTAAGTAATAATACTGTTTAAATTTGAATGAATTATTTCGATGCACTTATCGTGCTTAAAATTCAGCACACCTGAACAGTCTACAAACATACAGATATTATTTAAATGAAAATATCTTTCGACTAATTATGTAATATTTGAGATTCTAGAAAGAAGACAACTGATTATTATTATCTAAGGTTGGACTAAAAAAAAATAGGTGTAATCATTACACCAAGAAAATTTTTACTCTTTTCTTTCTCTTAATTTTTTACAAACAAGAAATTTGTTCTCGAATACATTTCTCCGAGGTTAATAGTGATTAGATTCAAAAATTTTATCTAATTTATCATGTCTTGTGGAATGAATATTTCGTTACCTTCCTTTTATTTAATTATTTCATTCTTACAATTTTTTTATTTTCTATGGGGATTGTAGAGTAAAAATTCTTTCATAAGCATTACATAGATCTGCAAAATAAGGGGTTATAATTGTTGTTCAACTGAGGATCATTTCCGAAGTAATTTTTTACGTAGAATTCGAATCCTGAGTCAAAATTTATCTATTAAGTCAAGTTTTTAGATTTACTAACCTGAACGGGTAAAACAGGGGGTTTTTTGGTATATTTCACATTCCGTAACATCGTGGAAAATTTTTTTTCTGAAAGCGAGGAAAACCATCTAAAAGGACTATTCTTATTCTTTAAAATGCATATTTAAGATTTGAGATCTTTTTTTTCATCGAGAAACTTTCAGATTCTAGAATAATGCTACAGATACAGATACATCGACGTCGTTGAAAACACCAATGTTATGGCGAGATCCTCCTAGTCACGATGACTGCTATTTTTGTTCAATTAAAACTACTGACTTCAAGTCTAAAAATTCTCATACAATAGTTCACCCAAATGTATCAAGATTACGAAACCTGTGATGGTGGGACCTGATGATATTTCTCCTAACCCTCCAAGTTGAAAGAAAAATGCTGGTACCAATATGGGTGATGAGAAAAGAGTCGACAATCTACAGATAATGATTCTTATGATTCTCAAAATTCTAATTCTCTTCCGATTCTTTTTGATCAAGCTGCTCTAAATGACTTAGACGGAGAATTAAGCTTGCCCCAAGACAAATCTGAACTACTGGTTTCACGGTTAAAAAGAGAAATCTTCTTGCCCCTTATAACGGTCAAAGCAAGTATCGGAGCAGGTTCACGAAAATCAAAAACAGTAGACGAAGAGGACGCGTGACGTCATACGTAAATAGTAGCCAATTTGCATATATGTAAACAACTATAGGTCTTTAGAGGATTTAAGCTACAGCGTGTTTTGATTTTCGTCTTTTAAATTTGTTTTGCATATGATATGAAGCGACGAAAGAGCGTAAACATAGCTTAGAGTACGAAGTGAGAATTTGAGTAGTTGATAATCGTTTAAATAAAATTATCAACGCCTCTAATGTTTTATCAATAAAATGTATCTCGAACTAGCAAAATAGTCTATAAATTTTAGCCATGCTATTAATTTAAGTGAAAAAGAAAAATAATTAAAAATTATATCTAAAATGTAGCGTAAGAACAATGAAATTTCAAAGGATAAATTAATTTGAATAAAATTAACAATTAATTGTCTTATTAACCGTAAGAAATATTAAAATGATAAAGATAAATAGTAAATTATTAAACTATATGCGAGAACTAAACATAAGCAAGGTAATATCCGAAATACTAGAAAGTCCTCTTGCGAATTGTGAAAAGTTTGTGTAAAATATGGTGGGGCGTAGCCGCGAATCCTATAATAATTGCCCATGTATAAATACGCCTGCGTTCACCGCAATGAGATTCTTTCCTCTCCTTGCGCGCAACGTGGACAGTGACTAGTGATTTAATAAACGATTAGAGCGTGCTCTGATCTAAAGTTAATCATTTGCCACAACTTCGCCTAGCGACCATCCTTTCCTAACAGTATCCCAAGGACAACTCATGGGGAAATATATTTCTCTACGAGATAGATCCTTTGGGTGTTTCCTTACAAAATTTACTTAATTATTTGATAGTCTAGAGTATCTGCAGCAGAATTCTCGGCATATGTCCAGGTGCCTCGCCTGACGTTAGGCCGAGTCTTGTGCGGATTGTTGTAAGACGTTACAAGAATATACTCTGTTTGCCTAAACTAGAGATTGCTCTCGTCAAATCAATTAAATAAGGTAGAGAGTGACCCTGAATCAATGTTACGGTACTACGTAGGCTTTTTTACCTACGAGTGTTAACATTGTCTCTGGGACATACGTCTACCTTTGTTAACAGTATCCCACGTTTATTTTAACGTGGGTACCTATTAGCTAAACTTATTCTATTAACTATAGACAATTTCGAATATCATAAGATACTATCGATAAAAATATTCTTTTTTTTTATGTCATTATTCTTTATACAAAAGTAAATGTACTGAAGCGCAAAAACTCAAATTCTCACTTAACATTACATCAATTAATATCGAGTATGAACTATTAAAGAAAATGTGTAAGTTGTAGCCACTTAGGTGAAACTCTACACCTTAAAACTGCATTTTCTTGGTACAGATATCGAGGAAAGTCATATAACTTCGTTCTTTTTCCAAGGTTGTCACGAAAGCAAGCAGCATATTTGCTTTGTGTGTCTCTCTCTCTCTCTCCACTCTTTTCTCGACAGGGCACTGTGGCCAGCGATGGGCGCATATGAGAAATACGTCTAACATTTAGCCTTTTGTTTCCTATCCTATTCTCTTTTTTCTCATTCTATTATTGAGAACGAAAGTACCTGTCTTATCCTCCTATAAAAAATTAGTGGTAAAAGCGCAAACACGCGCATCTCTATTACAAGGTGAGGACTGCATTTATTATAATAATGTTCATGCTTTAATGAAAAATTGTGGGCTGACATATAATCCTGCTGATTGGAAGTTGTTTCTTGACTCCTGTAAAAGAAGTTTGAAAAGAATCCTGTTTAACAACTCCAATATATATGCTCCCTTGCTTATCGCTCATTTCACTCACTTAAAAGAATCATAAGGCTCGGCAGACATCAAACAAATGCTGTATTTCTTAGTATATCAGTTCTGTAATCGCTCCAGTCTCTTCTTCTGACAAATCTCTCTTTTATTTTTTTAATCTTTGTGACGAGAGCAAGCAGTACGCTTGCTCCTCATCTGCCCTCCTTCTCTCTCTCCCCCTTATCGCTCGGCATGGCGACGTGGTCAGCGTTGGGTGCATATATTTATTGCGCCTAACCACTGGCCTTTATGTTTTCCAGCCGCCGAAGATTGCCGAGCAAGATTGAGAGCACCCGAAGAAGCAAGAGCGCAGCGACTATGAGGTAGAGAGAGACAGAGAGAGACAGAGAGAGAGAGAGAGAGAGAGAGAGAGTTAACGAGCATGCTAGAGTGCGCGCCTATGCACGCACTATGCAGGTTTGGGCCGGCGTGTGACGCGCGACCAATTAGCGCTTTTGTCGCACGCAGCCTAATGAGTGGGCTTGGTGGGAGAGCCCGGCGAGAGTACGAACGCTGACCATGCGTCAAGTCGCGTGAGCCAGTTCCCGGAAGAAAGTTAAGGAGAGAAGTTGGAAGTAGCGAAGAAAAGAAGCAGCGCAAAGAGAGAAAAGAAGTACACGTGCAGCAGTGACCAGACCAGGGCGAGACGAGGCTACGTATGGCGACAACACCTGCAGCAGGGCATTCAGTGTCGCCCTCGCCACCGTGCACGGCGACTTCCAGTGGGTTCACCACGGGCTACGCCGAGGAAGACGTCCAGCCAGCGGCCAGGTCAACTCCCAGGCCGGCTCATCGCCAAGGACAAAGGTCAGGTTATCTCTCTCTCCCAGTATTTCTCTCTCTCATGGTGATGCGCGGCCGCGTAGGAACGATAGGTAGCCAGGCAATCACTTGCCGGCTACGCTCATCGTAATGCGGTAGTGAGGTTTCGACGTATTCTTTTACTTGTAAGGAGGCGATTGGTCAAGGCGATTTAGTCGCCGGGCAATTCATCCTCCCGCGTTAGTTTAAGTTATTCTGTAAGTGTGCGCGTGAGGTAAACTTTTATTATAACCGATTTTGTATTTGTTTGTCTGAATAGATTTAAGTTGTATGTTCTAATTAAAGAAAATCATTTATTCATTCGACCTATCCTCTCGTTCCCCGATTGTTAAAGAGCGAAAGTGCCTCTCTTACTCTCCCCTTAATAAATTGGTGACGTCAGTGCCGAATAAGGCGCTGCCCTTGTTGCATGGCATCCCTTGTGGGGAGATTAATAATCGGGTACTAACAGAGAGAAATGGCCGAGCGGTAATAGTTTTTTTTAAGAAAGGAAAAATAATTTGTTAGCTAAGGGCAAAACGCGCGTGCTATGAACTTTCTTTTTTTTTAGAAGGAATTTCGTCGTTGTTCTCTCGGATTGTTTTGTTTTGGGCCTACCGGCGACCTTTTCTTATCGGGGAGTCGGGTAGCCGCGCGTGCGTCATTGAGCCGTTCGAGCGCTAGAGTTCGACACATTTTAAGTTTCCTATTTCTTAGAAAGTAAAACTTTGCCTTGTTGTTTTGTTTTGTGATATTTTCTAGTAAGTGGACACATGTATATATTTACGGTTTCTTTCTTTGGCTTATGCAAGGCGATTCCTCGCCGGCTCAGAGCCTAGAAAAAATCGGTCTTA